CAATTTCCCGTTTGTAATGCAAAATGACTGAAAATTGCAAACTTTGCAAGGCTCTATTTTCCTCATTTTACAACATTTCGCAACGAAACTTTGGAATATTACTAATTTTGTGATGCTCTTTCAAGCTGTGATGAAATTTTTGTCTAGATCAAGATTTAGTCTATAATGCAAATGGTCCAATGGATGGTCCATGAAACACATATAGCCTGTTTGCACTCAATACAAGCTACAACTACTATCGCAGCATTCCTATTAAAAAAATCAACATTCAATATAACAAATGGTTTGATCAAAGTGACTGCTTTACTGTACATATTCATGTATAGCAGGATGGGTCGTGAAATTTTTCCAATGACCTTTGAAGATAACTAACAGCAATAGAATGGTATCACGGTGATATAAAAGTTGTGAACTTGTGATGAAAGCATACAAATTGTAATGAGACATGAATTAATTATCTGGGCGCATTGCCACTTAAAGGGTTAATAACAGGGTGCATGGGCAGATAGTCTGAATAACCCCTTTGAATGGCAGCACTCTCTCCGCCTGACGAGTCTGGCGTTAGACAAAGTAAAATAATAAAGTAGGGCGCATTGCCACTTGCCACTTAAAGGGTTAAACACTGAATTTAGAAAGATTCAAAACTCTCCTTTTGTATTTCATGAGTTAAAAATTGCCTGTGCATTTACAAAAAAAAAATATATACATCATTACAAAGTTAAAAAGTTAAGATGATCAGTATGACTGAACATGTAACGTATTTGCCATGAGACTTTGCAGCTCTGCAGTAATGCCTCCTGTCTCATGTGAATACAACAATATATGCTCATGCACTCCACTTCGCTGCTCCGTCTAACAGCAGACAATTTTACCACATGCTTATTGCTTTTTACATCCAGTAGTTTTACAACAACTTTTAGTTTGGTTTGGCAGAACTTGATCGAGCATCGTTAACGCTCTCATAATATGTAAAGACTGTTGACAATTGACCTTTCAATAATTTCACTTCGTGTTCAAGAACATCTGTGACTCCTTTCATCTCCTGGGTTATATATTCAACACAGAAATCTGCATGAGACACATTGGAATTCTTAGGTTGCTTGGATGGATAGGGCCAAGCAAGGAGGATCATTGTAGCAAAATGGCTAAATTTTATCGGAGGGGTGTTCTGATTACAGTACATTTGCTCGTTCACAATTTTGAGGTTAACCATCCCATCCCAACTTTCGATGATCGAGTGTTCACCAGAGCTAAGGGATTCACTGATCATTTGGAAAAGAGGTAGCTGTTCTAAGGAACGAAGGAGATTGCAAATTGCGCATTTGTGCTCATTAGAAAGACAGCAATCTTTGTCCAATTTGATGGTGAAGATTTTGTCAAGACCTGTTTGAAAAATGAAAAGTTGAATAGTTAGAATGATGCTGTGAGTGTGGTGATGGTTATGGTGGTGATAATGGTGGTAATGATGGTTGTGGTAATAATGGTCATGGTTATAATGATGGTCATGGTGGTGATAATGGTGCTGGTGGTGATAATGGTGGTGGTGGTAATGATGGTGGTGGTAATGATAATCATGGTGATGGTAATGGTGGTAATGATGGTAATGGTGGTAATGATAATCATGGTGATGGTAATGGTGGTAATGATGGTCATGGTGGTGATAATGATGGTGGTGGTATAATGATAATCATGGCGATGGTAATGGTGGTAATGATGGTCATGGTGGTAATGATGGTGGTGGTAATAATGGTCATGGTGGTGGTGATGATAGTCATGGTGGTGAATATGGTGGCAATGATGGTAATGGTGGTAATGATGGTGATGGTAATGACGGCCATGGTGGTGATAATGGTGGTGGTGGTGGTGATGATGGTCATGGTGGTGAATATGGTGGTAATAATGGTAATGGTGGTGGTGATGGTAATGATGGTCATGGTGGTAATGATGATGGTGGTAATTAATGATGGTGGTGATGAGTGATGGTAATGATGGTGGTACTAATGTATCTGACAGTGGTGGTTATGGTGACAACAGTGATGATGGTTAGTGTTTTGAAAAATTACCTGGAAAACATTCTGTACACCACAAGCTCAAAAACTTTGAAATAAGTATCACAAGAAATTCCTTCTTTTCAGTGTGATTGTGACACTGTGCCATAAGCCATGTTTGCCATTGCTGCAAGACCTTTGAGCAATCAGGGTTCATTTCCGAGGGCAAGCTCAGGTTTAAGTTGTTGGAAACTTTGAACAAAATGGTTGGGTTGCCTGTGTGAAGGGTTCGCCTCAAAGTCAAGTAACCACGGGGTTGACCTTGAAATTAGAATTATTCATTTGTTAGCAAAACAAAAAAATTAATAACCCAGGCCAAAAAGAATTCAGTTTCTGGTGAGTGAGTACATTTCTAGTTTCGATAAGTGCATACATTGGTTTCTTATGCTTAATGTTAAACTGTCACCAAGTTTACATAGAAATGATAGAATAAAATGAGAACTGGTAGATGTTGACAACTACTAAATATTCAGGTGTATAAAATAATAGAAATATATCAAGTATCTATCACAACACTATGCTTTATTTTCCTATCCAGTTATTTTAAATTCAAGGTATAGTTGGAAGGAGCTTTGAGGACTTTTTGCTGGGTCCATTTTTGTAGAGTGTACTATGGGTCTGGGCAGCTGTCACTCCCCCCCCCCCCCAATGAGGAGAGCAGGGTGGGACTTGGGGTGTCCATGAGGAAGACACAAAATTAAGTTTCATGGCTTTAGAACAGCTCAAAATTGCATGTGGTATGTTAGTTTTTTCCTACTTTGTTGTGTTTCCAACAGGAAAAATTATTTCCACATCACAATTTTAACTCAAACAACTTCATTTTTACTGCACTAAAACTTTTGATGAGATGAATCAGCCAATCAGGAGTTTAATAGTGGGATGCTACTACTTCGTGTTATAAAAATTGCGATCTTCACTGACCAAGATCCACTATCAATCCTTTCATGGCCCTCCACAACACATCAACAGTTACCCAATGAGGCGGATACTTAAATCTAGCCACGTCAAAGATCAGCACCAAGTCCCGCCCGCTATGGTAACCACCTATTGGTGAAAAATGACCGTCTCCCATCTGGCCAAGCACTTCCCGCGAGTACGAACACACCAGCACTTGGCTTTCACACTGGGTAACACGCTTCACCACATCTCGAAACTCGACAACTGTTGCCGTCGGCAATGCCTGCACCATGTCGACGTCCAATCCATTACACATGGCAAGACACGAAAAATGGAATAGCGTTATGCCTTCCTTTTTGGCGACTTCAAGTGGCACACAACAGTCTAGCATACTTTCATGGTACCATCGCCAAGGAGCCTTCCACACCTTGCCCGGATCAACTGATAATGCATTCAAAACCATAACTAATGTTGACAAGCCACAATAAGCCGGTTCGTCTTGTGTCCGAAATTGTGAACTCAGAATAAAAAAACAGTCCATAGTGCCTTCATTCAACGCTTCTTTGAAAATATTTTTGCCCTCCGTCGAGGCAAAATCGATGCAAGAAGAAGGGAGGGGCTTGCGGTAATATTCCTTCTTTGGGGTCGCCATATTTGTATATTAAATATTAATTATTCTCTTTTATAGAAATTCTAGTCTTTTCTTGTGCAAAAAAAAGAAAGCAGGTGGGCCACATGCACTAAAGCGTAAACAACCGCGTTCCCAGGATAATAGAGACAATAGACCCTGCTAGATCAAGGTTGCTAACAAAATAGGTTGTTTATCTTGTAAACTTTATATACAATGCATTCTTCGTGGAAAACACATATTTTACACAATAAAAATCACAAAATAGGAAATGATATATTTCGGTGTATTAAATTCTGTGAATTAATGAGAGATTGGGGCCGAGTTTTCAAAATTATGTGAATGAAAATGAGGAAACCGACTGAACCAATAATTATTTCTGGAAAGATTCAAAATTAGTTCAAAATGGACGAATTGCGCTTTAGACTAAGTTTTAATCTAAGTAAGAACAACGAAATCTATCACCATAGCTAGAAAGAGCGTCTTGGAATTAGTAATATTACAAAGTTTGGTTGCGAAATGTTGTAAAATACGGAAAATATAGCCTTTCAAAGTTGGCAAATTTGTATACTTTTGTATATTACGTGCGTGAATTGGTAACTAAATTAGTTACCAATTTCCGCACGTAATAGAAATGTATACAAATTTGCCAACTTCGCAGGGCTATATTTTCCGTATTTTACAACATTTCGCAACCAAACTTTGCAGTTTTTCTAATTTTGATAACTTCTTTCCGAAAATATCCTTTGTTATTCCCAGATTAAATTTTTTTCTAAAGCGCAAGTCGTCCATTATCTGTAGTCGATTGACTTCTGGATATATACTGTATGAATAACAAGCTTTCAAAAATTTGGAAAATTCCTATATAATATAATAGGGAGCTTTAGGGCCTGTTCATATGGACAACAGTTATTCCGGTTAGCGAGAAAACGTTTCGACAAGTTCACAAGCGAGATCTCGCCTTGGTATGAAAATAATATGAAAAGTTACACTGCGTTCATATGAGACAAAACGTTTCCCGTGTACCGAGATCTCACTTGCTGACAGGCGATATCTCGGTGACCAGGATAATGTTTTTCCCATATGAACACAACTTTCCCGCTTAGGCCACATAAAAAAAATTACTTGTTTAGCGTCCCCGCCCGACCTGATAAAAGTCCCCGACCTCCAATTTTTTAAAATTTTTTTTTAAAAATTTGTCCGAGTTTAGTGGAAAAACTCTATAAAAAAGACCGTTTTACTTGAAAAAATGGTGATTTTATTCTTCTGGGAGCTATGTAATACGTTTACACAAAGTTTCCTTCCCAGAATATGCCTGTTCGCAGCTAAAGTGTTCGCGCGTGACCGCCAAACGGTAATTTTCTGTTTTATTAAAAACATGAACGGGAAGTTAAAAAACATGAACGGATTTTGAAAGAATTAAAGTGAGTTTTGACTGTGGTAATATACTGGATTTCCTGCATTTAGCAGAATTTTGTGTTGCATTTTACGAAAAAAAAAAAAAAAAAATCCGTCCGCCCGACCTAGAAAAATTGAAATGGGTGGACGCTAAACAAGTATTTTTTTTTATGTGGCCTTAGCGGGATAACTTTCTGTCGTGTCAGCAACTTTTCAATTCAATTGATGTTCAGTGCTACGTCACAGCCGAAAACTTTACCCGGTAAGCGGGATAAAGTTTCTCTATTTGAACAGAACAAAAGTATTTGGCTAGTCGAAAAATTGTCTCGTTAACCAGGATAACTTTTGCCCATATGAACAGGCCCTTAATACGGTAAATTAATACTTTTAAAAGTGACTTTTAAATATCACTTATAGTCGTAAGTCCCTGTATGATAATAACGATCATATGCCTTATATACTTTTATGAAATTGTTAGTATTAAATTATATTGATACTCCCCATGTGTAAATACTTTTAGTCAATTCAGATCATACAATTGTCTTTTTTATCTTCTATAATTATAAATATCTAGTTTTTATATAGCCTTCTTATAATTGTTGCCATGTGCGTGTGAGCATATATCTGAATCGGAACTTGCGCTACAAATGCAAATATTATTATTATCTGTAATTACCGAAACTTTGAGAGTGTAAACCATGCAGTTTTTACATGATGTAACATTTACTCAAATAACTTCAGCTTCGCTATTCAACTACAGGGGGTGGGGGTGGTTTGGATGATATTAAAATAGAATATCTCGTAGCGCAATGTATTCTGATTTCGTGAAAAATATCTCATGTGGAAACCGGAAAGACGCAAAATGTTTTTTAATTAACTACACGTGGAGTTGATATGCTTTAAGTAATGATAATTAAAATACACAGAAAGAAACCAAAACTAAAGTAACTTTATTTATACTTCGGGGGATGAGGTGCAATTTTGGAATGAGGAATTCTTTTTCTTGTTATTTGTAGAGCATATAATGTTTCAGTTTACTGTTCAATGTCACATAGAATGTATGATGTTTGTTTCTCTTTTAGAATTAGATCGAAAAGGTGGTTGCAGCTAGGTATTCAGATCCTGGAATGCTGTGAAATAGCTCTGGTGTGAAAGGAAATTTTTTATTCATTTGATGATTGACTAATGAAATTAGAATGGTGAGACCGTGAGAATAATCATGACGACGCTAGTGAAACACAACTTGTGATGCAGATACTGGTGATGCATATACGTTGTAATGATACTGCTGAATATCAGAAGATGTATAGATAATAGTAGTATAGTAGTAACAATGGTTTTGAGTACAATTTGGGAAAAACATGCACGAGTGAGTTTTTCAAAGACAAAGACTATCAAAATTGCATGAGTCCGACTACGAGTGCAATTTTGTTTTTTTAGTGCAATTTTTAATTTTTTTTTTATGTTATATAATATAGTTGTTTGTTTAATCATATACTAGTATTGATAGGGGTAGTGTCAATTGGGACGCAAGTCCTGTTCTTTTCTCCAGTCACGTCTATGTTTAGTGTGTTATCTTGTCAGAATGTTGTGTTAGTGTTGCTTGTTTGCTAATATACATTTTTTGTATATATCTATATAAAGGTGACGAAATTATTGATAAATAGAAATATAATTTGAAGTCTGTGAAAAATTCACGAGTGTATGTTTTTTTCAAATTGCACGAGAAACCATACTATTACTTATAAATAATAATACAGAAAAAATTATGCAGTCACATGCGTGCGTACACGCGTAAAAACGCTCAGGTTGTTGCAATATTGACGTAAACAGGATTGAACAATGTTTTGCTGCCCACATTGTTCACAGTTGTCAACAATATTGAACAATATTGTTACACGCAAGTGTGAACGTGGGCAGCACAACATTGTTCAATCCTGTTAAACAGCGTGCTCAGCGTTTTTAGCCGTGTAGGTCACATGCGAAATAGTTGAAAATCTACTAAAAACGCCAGCCATTTTTGTCACTCATGATGTTTGGGTTTTTTGTATGATTTTCTGCTAGAAATGGCTGTACCTTACAGTCAATCGGAAATTTGGCCTGTATTTCATTTTTTGGCACTGTATTTCGAAAAAATTGCGCTGCTCTTAATAGTCCATCAGAAATGAGAGTAATAATACTGGTGATTAAGTTCTAATGAAGACAAACAGTTAAAA